TCTTTTTTTCCTCATCACTTTTTTACCATCTTACCTTTTCCACGAATCGATCTTGCGGCAGGCAAGATTTACCGCCACAAGATTTCCAATGTTTACTTAGCCCCCTGTTTTTGGCTAGCTGCAGGTGAACGTTCAGCGCCGCCGCTGCAGGCCCTAATCTCGAAATCTCGAAACGTACATTATGAAATGGGACCTCAATCTTAATGCCTTGTTTCAGTGTTTATTCCGGAAAATAAGATACGAATTGTACATTTCAAAACGACGTTTGGGGGATGCTTGCATTCTGTGGGGGTGGAGCATGGCAGTTCAAAGGTCAGCCAGACTGCCGTATTGACAGGCGGCGGTGGTCGCGGGCGGCAGTCGTCTAGGTGTGTGGACAGGGGCATGACACTCGTTATGGCAAATGATCATCGACGCCTCAAAGCACGACCACCCGGCTATCTTCTCCCAACCCCAGATATTCGGAAGATGGCAGTAATGATGAACATCGCCGGCCGCTTGGCAAAGCTACAAATTACCGAGACTTTTGAGAGCCGCATGGGAGGTTATGTGAATGTCTGCTGCAACGGCTTCTCCCGTTTTGATACCGAGAGTTTTGCACTGGGCGATGGATAATGGACATCAAGGTAAGGCGTTATCGACGTCCAAAAGGCAAGGCGAGCTGCTAAGTGGGTCAATAGTACGAAAAAGAGTGACAATCATGACTGTATTCGCCCTTCGCCTTGGCCAAGGTACACCGACGACAGCATTCCATCTGTCGGGTGACCTCGTGGGTGGTGGCTCCCAAAAAGATTTCGTCAGTGATCTTGCACATCGTTATCCACTCAGGGTCTTGCATTACACCAGCATACCAGCCATTTTCGAGCCCGCTGCTGTGGAGGGGTGTTACGTCGCGTTTGTCGTCTGCGTAGCTACCTGCCCGTCGGGTCCCGCGCAAGAATACAGCATGGCATGTATACATGCCAGCTAGTTACTCGCGTGCACGACATGAACACCACACGCTCCTCCTCCTCTCCACCACATCATCCAACTGGTCGGCGTCCTCGCCTGGACGAGAGAGGAAGGTGGTTAAAGAATGATGCCGCCGGGACGGGTCCGGAGGCCAATCATCCACGCCTTCGGGGTCCATTGCCTTGTGCTATTCATCATCGCGGCTGGAACGGGTGGGCAAGCGCAACTTGCGGTGAACCGGAATATGCTGTTTTTGTGGAACTGTCGACGGCGGCAGCGGGGATGAGATGGGAGGGGATGTGATGAATGGACGGGGAGAGCATGCGGGATGCCATCCGACCATACCATTCCTCCCTTCCTATGCTCTCGGGCACGGGGAGTGGGAGGGAAAACGTACGATTGTGAGACTTTTGGGCTGGTCACACTTCTTCAAGCCGCCTTCTACCTGCAAGTATACTCTCATTGTCACTGTGTGCTTACGCCAGAGCCGAAGTCTTTCGTATTCCGCACTTATCATGATGATATCTGTGGCGGAGGAGGATGATGACGGAAGGAAGCTTACTGTTCTCCCGCCGACGGTACTCCCCCACAGGCCACAGACGCAGCCAGAACAGGCACAGGCACTGCACCGAAAGGGCTGCTGGCATCCCCCTCCCCCGCCTCCTTTCGGGGTCCCTTCATGACAGACCATCCATCCATCCATCTAGCGAACCTGCCGGTCCCCTACGAGCCAGCCAGTAGTACACCAGGTCACAGTACATGAAGCATCTTCCCTTTGCCCTCCCTTCCCTTACTGTCACTCCATCAGTCCAACCAACAGCATCTAGCTCCAACTGCCGTGTGACTGCTGTGGTGTGTGGCTGTATCTTCTTGGCCATGGATGGCTGTATGTACATACCGTCACCCTACCTACCTACCTTACCCACACACAGCAGCAGCAGCAGCAGCATCATCATGCAGCCTGCCCTCCCTTCTCTTGGCCCAGTCCTGGCCCAGTCAGTCAGTCCACTATCACCGTACCCGAGGTACCCTACCTACCGACCAAGCCAGCCAGCCAGCCAGCCAGCCAGCCCCCCTTTTAGGCTGTGATTATGCTGTGTTATGCCAAACTGCGCTGGAAGGAAGGATGGCTAAGGCATGCAAGCTGTATGTATGTATGTACAGTGGGAGGTACACTATCACACAATCCACCCCATCCATTCACAACGGGCACAGACGACAACGGACGACAACGGTGGGGGGGTCAATAAACGGCGTAATTAACGGTCAATGTCTTGGAAGCTGGGTGTGTACAGTACATTAGCGTGTGAAGTGGGTTGACAAAATTGAAGATATGTAATGTACACTGCAAATCTGAACCCCTGGCTCGGATCTTTGTGGTCTACACACTGGGGGGTCTGGGGTGTGAGGGTGATTTCGGAATTCTTTCCACACTCCCCTTGCACCCCTTTTTTCATCCATCCCCCGTTTTTTGCCACGCAAGGGGATAGAAACCGGGAAGGGGGTTGTATCCACTTCATCATCATCATCATTCTCATCATCATCATCATCGTGGTTGTTGAGTTGTTGTCAACTCCCCACCATGCCTTGTGTTAACAACATAAAACGTAATACACGGTAACTTTTTCTTGGAAAAGGGCGATAGAAACAGGGCAGGTAGTAAGCCGGATCAAGGGTTCGGAGACAGAACAGGAGCCAGAGGCAGATTGTAAGGCTTAGTTTGGGGACTAGTCTGAGACATTGAGGGATATATCGTGACAGAAGAAGAAGGTGGTTTGGTTTTGGGTTAGTGTACGAGTACGGCAGGGCTGACATGCTATTAACTACTGACTGTATGCATACATACCTGCCCAAGTGGCGATGATGTGATGATGTGGTGGTTGCTGGCGTGGATAGCTAGGTAGTGTGACAACAGAACGAATTGGGAAGTTGTGTGATGGCCATTTCGGGCTTGTTGTGCTTTGGCGCTATTCTGGCTGCTTTTTGCTCTCTGCCCACTTGCCTAGATGGGCGTGATGTGTTTGTGAATTGTTGCCACTGGTAGGTACTAGTATGGGGGGGGGTGGGTGAGGCTGTCGTCAGAGAAGACAGACGACAAGACGGGAGTAAGCAATCCTCGGTGTGATGGGGGATACAGAGAAGGGTAGGCAGTGGTTTTGTGGGACTTATCAAAGGGCATGACTATCGAGATAGGTGATAACTGCGGAGTAGACAGAATGAACTGGGTAGACGGGGGAAATAGTGAATGTGCGGTCAGGTTCCCACTGGTGGAGGGATAGATGGCAAAGTGTTGGGTTGTGATAGAGAGCTTGTTGAGATCTTGATCACTGCATCTAAGTTCTAAGTTGGTGTCATTGCCAATAGTCCTTTTTGGATGTTGTCTGGACCCCTGGGATAAGTCTCTGCAGCTGACCTCTTTGAACTGACCTCTGTTGACTCGCACCCTTTTGGCTGACCCCTTTTGACTGACCCCTTTTGACTGACCCCTTTTGACTGATCCTTTTTGACTGATCCCTTTTGACTGACCTCCTTCAGGCTGACCTCCTTCAGGCTGACCTCCCTTGGGGCTCGGCTCTTCTGGACTGAGTCCTTCAAACTGACCCTTTGGACTGACCCCTTTAGACTGGTGTCTATCGTGCCAGACCACGTTGACCGACTCCCTTCTGACTGACCAAGTTAAGGTAACCTGACATATGGTTGTCTTCTTGAAACTGACCTCCTCCGACCAACCTACCTCAGACTGGCCTCCCTTTAACTTGATGTGCGCGCCACGAATCACTTGTTGCTCTTACCATACTGTCATTCCAATTCCACTACAGTATTCTTTAGTTGTATAAAGCAGTGAAAGGCAGAAAGGAACGACGTAGACTGCGAAGTTGAGTTCAAATCTGGCTGTTGACTACTCGCCCTCGAATACTGTTTTGCGTTGCTCAAAACATCAGTTTACTGGGCACCAGTCTGACCTGCTTTCGGGGAGGGCATCCCTCTCACCATTACCAGAAACAAAAGCCAAAAAAGACAGAGGGCCTGTTTTCTGCAGTTCCCCAGGAGATTGGCGACTATCCAAAGTTTCTGTAGTATGTACATGGAGACGGAATTGGCACACATGGCTTGATAGTTAACAGTTTTACCCGTCTTCAAGTCATGACATTGAAGCAGCCATCAACACCATAACATTTCAGTATTGCTCTCTCAAGACACCCGTCATGGGCACATGGATACCGAGAGATCTGAGCCAGTCTCTGATATGATCCTATTCGACGCATGCTCGATATCTAATCTTAGAGGCAGTCTCAACTCATCCACAGATATCACATACAGTCCTTTGCCTCTCTATTGTGCTTGAATTCATGTATGGTCAACTACCCAACCCCCGAGAGAAGCCCGCGTAGCCTACTGAAGAAGCAAATTAAAACGTGATGTAATCCTCTCAGAAGTACGAACTAGCAGAATGACGATATATTCATCCATGAACTCTCAAAAACCCCCTTCCTAAACGTAACATGTTCTCTTCAAAACTATAAGACAGAAACCGGCTCAAAACCTCACTCAAAAAAGTCTAATCTTACCTTCCCACAAACCAAGCACGAATACCTCTTCAAACTAGACATCATAACTCTACCAACCCTCACACAGAGCCCCCATCACTTCCAGTTCATACCAGAGTTCCATTGTCAAAGAAGACCAGTTTATAGCAGTAAACTCATCCCCCTATCGCCAAACACCACCCATCCCACCTTTCCACCAAAAAGAAACTCAATCAACTCACTACACCCTTTAAAAAACCCTCTCCCTCAAAGTCAAAGCCAGCCAGCCAGCCACCTACCTGCCTCCAGGCCCCTTTGTCTCTCTCTCTGATCAGGGTACTCTTCAGATAACTAACCCAACTCCAAAATTACACATAAAACCTCCCCCAAAAAAGAAAAAAAAAAGAAAAAAGAAAAAAGAGTAGCCATTCACCGAGTTTGCCAAGAGAGATAGATATCTTGAGATTTTACGAGATGTAAGGAAGGTAGACTTATAAAAAAACTCAAAAAAGTTAGTTAGGCTGCCCAATAACAGGATTGAACTGTTGACCTTCGCATGGAACTTGATATTACTTCAAGAGTAGAGAGTAATATTAGTACGACGCTCTAACCAGCTGAGCTAATCGGGCTTTTTTAGGCGTTTTGTATACATTCCACACCGGATTTGTGTTGATGACTCGGGCAGTTCCTTGAGTGGAGATCCTGAAATTGAGCTGAATCTTCCCTCTCACGTACAAGAATTTGATAATGCTGTCATCCCTACAATACAATAACTATAAGCTACAGCACCTACCTACCTTAAGCGGTAAAAAGTCTGGAAAGTTGCCTGTTCATGTCAGCCACAGATAGGAAGGACCTAAGCTAGATGGACGTGTAGTCGTGGAGATATCGAGGCAAGCGGCAAGAATGTAAATATGTGATCTGTAGACAACGGCCCCTAGCAGCACGTACACCACACGAAAATCTCAATATTGTTCAAGACAAACCAAGTAAGATACACCATCTTCTATTCACCTGTTCTCCTATCCCCTCCCCCCTCTCCCCTCTCCCCTCTCCCCTCCGCCCCTGCTAGAGCCTATCTTCCCCCCCTCCCCCCCCCCTTCTCTCAAAAAGCTATCTACAAAGCCCCAAATAAAATAATAGCACAAAAGTTCTCCCCCTTTTCCCTTCCCCATATTGTCCTCCATCTCCTTTTTCTTCCCCCCATTCCCTCCTTCCCCGTCTGCCCTTTCAACCGCTGAGATAAAGGATCGGTGATGGTGGTGTGGTCGAATACAGAGAGGTAGCGGTATGTCATGGGTAGTGTAGTATAGTTACAAGGTTAAACATTAAGAATCGAAAAAAAAAAAAAAAAAACTTGTTTGCCCTTTCCTTTCCTCGACAGACACAACCAGATGCTGTCAAGAAATACAAGGTTCCGTAAAATGTAAGAATCGAAAAGTAAAAAAAAGATGTTGACATAACGCCAAATGATGGGTAAGAAACGAAATAAAAACCACACACTCTCTCTTTCTTCCCCTTCCCATTAAACCCCCCCTCTCACCTCCCCATGATGGTGTATCCCTGCTCTCCGTAGTAGCGGCGGTGGTATGATCGATGATGCTCTTCGGTAAAATTCCAAACGCCAAATGCTAAACCTCTTTAAAACAGAAAGGAAATAAAAAATGAAGAAACCAGTGGTATCAGACCCCCCCGCCTTTGCACCCTTTTTTGTAAACACTTAAAACGCCAGCCAACCAGTCAAACCCAGTACCAGTCCCAGATATGCGCACGATGAAATTCTTTCTCACAAACCCTCTCTACACCTGAGGTGCCCCCGGACGCCCTTTGCTTAAATTCTCCAGCAGCTCATGAGGCGGTATCCTCTGAATACCGCTCCCACGATCATACATGGACGTTGGGGCAGGAACATACCCCTCCCGCTTCTTGCGTAGCCTGTCAAGGAGGAGACCGGCAACGACAATCAACAGCATCAGCGCCAGGGAGATACCCAAGCCGATAAGCACGACAAATACAAGCGGCAGGGGAGAGCCGCCCTTGTCGAAGAAGTTGCTGTGCTCGGTGAAGACGCGTGAGATGGTGCCGGCGGTATTGCCGCGGTTGCTGGTGAGGGCGTATGGTCTAAACTCCTGACCATTAAAGAGGACGGCGGAGGCAGTGCCGAAGCCAGGGAGGACGATGGACCCGGTAAGTATCAGAGCCTCGCTGGAGTCGATCAGGTCGGTGTTATCGTGAGAGGAAGTAAGAGAAAAGATTTGGAGACCGCGGATGTCTGTGCCAGCCTCGAGAGACTCGCCGACGAAGCGCCAGGTGGTGCCATCAGACTTGGCGAGGTAGACTGTGCCATTGGCAGAGGTGCCGGTAGCCCAGATGTGAGAGCCCTCGTTGTTGCCCTTGGTGAGAGCCGACACTGGGCCAGGAAGCTGGCTGGCGCCGGGATAGCTATCCCAGGTCTGGGTCTCAGTGTTGTAGGTGGAAAGGAATGTAGAGACAGTGTTGTTGACTGTGAGGTTTCCACCGGCAAGCAAGACATTGTCGGAAATCCACATCAGCGAATGGACCGCACCGCCAAGGTTCTGTCCGGGCTGAATCCACTGAGACGACGCAGTGCTGTAGAAGCAGACACCGTTGCATCCCAAAGAGCCGGCCGATCTGAAGGATCCTCCGACGTACACATCGCCAGTGGTGCCACGCACGGCAATGGCAGAGACCGTGCCGTTATCACCAGACAAGGCTTGGGGCTGGGTGTTGAAGGACTTGCTGGCGAGATTGTAGGTAACCAAACCGCTAACATTGACGCCGTTCACATTGCCCGTGACTTTCCCTCCAGCGAAAAGAACATCTCCGTGTACCGCCAAGGCGACAAATGTAGAGTTCTGGGCGATTTCTTGACCGAAGCCAGAGACCTTATCACCGTCAGAGCCATCGATAATGGCAAGGTTGTGGATTTCGGAGCCGTCGCTGTTGGTGGCAGTAAAGTGACCACCAAGGATAGTGAGGTTCCTGTTATTGCTGGTGTCGAAAACGCCAGTAACGATACCGGCCAGGCTCCCATCGGCCAGGGCACCATCCCGCTTGGACAGAGCACTCGTGCTGGAAGAAGTTGGGGTAGGGCGGATCTTGACGGGAAAGCGGCGAAGATCCTCGCCCAAGATCGCAGCACTCGAGGCGCCAAGGGCCCGTGATATAAGCGAGCCGGCATAGAGAGCGGTTTCGCCATCGACGTTCAAGATCGATGCTGACAAGATACCTTCGACCAACTCAACCGGCAAATCCAAGTTTTGCAGCCAGTTTCCTTGCGAAGGGACCCAGATTCCGAATCCCTCAACCTCAACAGTCGGGTTGTTGCCAAAAGCCCGCAGCTGGTCAAAGTCTCCATTAACGGCCACCACAACTTCGGGTGTCGAGCTGGTGATGTTCATAGTCATGCCAACCACATGCTGGACAGCCCCGTTAACGCCAGCGCCCAGGGGACGCCAGGTTCGGCTCGAAGAGTCGTAAACTGCAACGTTGCTGAGTCCAGTCGAGGAGCCGCTGACAGTACCGTTAAAACTGCCCCCCACAAAGAGGTTGGTCCCGTTGAGGAACAATGACTCGACCTCGCCGTTCAGAGTGCCGCCGAGCTGTTTGGGGTTGGCGTCGTTGCCCTGTAGTGCAACGATGTTTTGAACATTGCCGGCGCTAAAGTTGCCCGCAATATAAGTAGTGTCACCCGACGTCGCAAGAGCGTTGACAATGGAACCGGTCCTGAAGCTGGCTCCCAAGCGGTTGAATGCGGAGCTCATAAAGTCGCTCGCATTGACAGCTCTCCCTGGTGTATACTCGTACAGCCCATTCAGACCACCTGTGCTGTTAATCAAGGTGAAACCGACGCGCTGAGCGACAAACGTCATCTCGTCCAGAGACTGTCCGGCAAGGGGAGTCATGGTCACACGGGGGCGGAAGCTGGCCGAGTTGGCATCAACGGCGCCAAAGTAAATCTGATCGTACTTGTCAAAGTTGTTGGTCTGGTAAAGGTCCAGGTCGATCGGCTCGCTCTTGGTGGGATCAGCGGTCATCTGTCCAGTAAGCTTGATACGGCCACGGGTCGAGCAGGTGTTGTCCTGCAAACAACCAGGAGTGTAAAGATTCAGCGAATAGTGGCCTGACTCCCGAATATCCGGAGTGAACACCACAGACGCCGAAGTGTTAGTAATAGGTCCAGTAAGGCGGGCGGTAAGATATTCAGAGGTGCTCTGCTGGGAAGGCGTAACCACCCAAGGTCCAGTGGTCGTCGCTCCAGATGGGAACTCGGCGCCTGCGCAAGATGGCTCGTTGAAATCGTTGATGGCGTAGGAATAAATGTCGTCCGCAAACAGCTCAATGCCGTTCAAACCACCACCGCTGCCATAGAACCTCGAAATATCAATGCGGAACTCGTTCATCCCAATGACATTGACGAAGTGGAAATCCTGAAACTTGACATCCGGATCGTTGCTGAGTGGGCACTCGCTCGTGCAGCTCGCATTTCTTTGGGTGGCCGGATCGATATAGGTGAAGTTCATGATTCCATTGATGGGCAGCGCCGTAAACCGCCAGGTCTGAGTTCCCCTGCCATCCTGCCGAGTGTTGTAGAGGCGCAACTTGGTGGGCTGGAATCCAAATCTGAACTTGGCCGACCAAAAACCCGGGGTGCCGTCCTGAAGCAACCAAGTGTTTCCTGGGCCGTCAGCTCCACCAGTTTTGCAAATAATATTCTTTGGGTCGCTGAAACCCTGTATAGAAGTCGAAGAACCACTGCTAATGCTTGCTGTCGACAAATTGATGACTTGTCCATCTGGCGTGCTCGGAGCACTCGCATTCCCCAGACCCGTGAAACTGCCGCCGAAGATGATGTTCCCGTTGGACGCCTTGCTTATCGACGTTACTGGTCCATTAAACCCCGCAAATGGAAGATTCGTCCAGGCTTGTGACTCTCCGAGCCAAGCAATCGCATTGGTCGAGTTCACACCGACAAAGCTGCCACCCACATACACCGTGTTTCTCTCCTGATCACACAGCAGAGCATTGACCTGACCGGAGAGACCTTGGAGAGGTGTGATTTCGGCCGTTGCTGGATCGAAAAGCGCCATGCCAGGCGACTGCTGAGCTCCCGCGCCAATCGCTCCAATGCTCGTGAAATTTCCACCAACCATCACAACATTTCGTCCGTCGACCTCGAAAGTGCACATGGTTCGTATTGTCGCATCGGTGTTAACGACTGGGGCGAAGGCGCCGTTGGGCATCCTCGCAAGAAGCTGTTCGCTGCCATTGGTGCTGTATGGTCGCTCGTTTTGTCCCTCGAACTCGTACAGTGATATGCCGGAGAAGTCACCAGCCAGAGCTACTCGGCCGAGTTTTGAGAAGTCGAGGTTCGCGGGGGGCGCCGGTGTGAATGTGATGGCGCTCGACAGCGACGATAGGGCGAGAAGTAGAAGGGAAGAAGTAGTGGCTGTTCGTCGTTGGGCGGCATGGTGCCGCCGTAATGGTAGACGCATCTCGTGTCAATTCGGAGTTCTGAGTATTAATTAAGGAAGGTAAGAATGCGCTTGGAGACCGGCGAGCAGGTGACGTGCTCGAGGTCGATCGGTTTGGGTTCCAAGCTGTCAAG